AGGCCAAATAGTTGGGGGGGGGGGGAATCAGTCATATGGATTTGTGTAAATACAGTATTAAGAGACCTGTTTAAAACATGTTAGCAGTTTTTGTTATCCAGTGGACATGTGGGTGGTTAAATCCTTCTAAATATAATATTTTACGCTGTCAAAAGAGCTAGCTGACTTCACATTCTTCCTGTCTAGCTTTAGAATCAGTAGTAAATGCCTCCTTTTCTTTCCTACTCTTGTCTTATTCAGATAGTTTCACCAGTCTAATCTTTGTTATCTAGCTGTAGCTCTTCAGTCTTCATAATTATTTGTGACATGCAACACCATTTCTCTTCCTTTTTATGTCTTCTATACTGACATTCCATTTCCAAGAATCACAACCTAGGCTTAGTTATGCCCAGTAGGTAAGTAATCTTTCTCATAGCTGGGAATAATATCTGTAACTTCCATGCTAATGTTTCCAATCATTTATAACTTTCCTAAAGTTTCATCTTTGGACTGAAGCTGTCCAGGTTTGAGCTTCTGTCAGTGTTGAGTTTTCTTAAAGCATGAGCAACAAATTATTCGATTATTTGAGTCCAAAAAGACTGGGGAAAAATACTTTCTCTGATGTTTAAAAAAAATATGTTGCCTTACCATCTCCAGTGCCAAAGTAGCTTGGGCAGAAAGTGACAATTTGGCAAAGAACCTTTATAAAGACAGGTGCCTGTGAGTGATCTAGTGAAGTTGCAAGCTTTTGAAAATGTGATTCCATGTAAGACAGTTTGCCTTGAGATGACCTGCACGTCCAGTTAAGAGCCTTTTCCACTGCTTTCTGGGGATTTTGTACATGTTGTAATGCTGTATTTTCTTCTTCCCCAGGTTTTGTAAGTTATGACAATCCTGTCTCTGCGCAGGCTGCCATCCAGTCAATGAACGGCTTTCAGATTGGCATGAAACGTCTGAAAGTGCAGCTCAAGCGCTCTAAGAATGATAGCAAGCCATACTGAGCGCCCCTCCCCTCTGGGACTGGAGTGAGAAGGATCTTTTGGTAAGTTGGGGAGGAGCGCACTTAATGATTCGAAGCCCTAAGGCTGTGTTTTTACAGTCCTGGAAGCTGACCCATGTCATTCTAACTGGCACATCTTCCCCTGAAGACTCGGCTGCAGCCTCTGCGGGAAATTCTGCTTTGGATGGAGGACAAGTTTGTGCTTTTGTTTCCAGTGTTTTACTTTGGAGTTTAGGTGCCATATCGCTGAGGTTTTTTTATTTTTTCTCCCTTCTTTGAAGTTTGCTGTGTTTGTAATCACTAGTGTGTGTTGAGAAGGACCAATGCCAGCTACCTTGGGGATGGGAGAAGGAGCATAGAAGGGGCAACACAACTAACACCAGACAGCACTGAGGAC